AAAATTAAGATCAATATTGTTTACATTCAAATATCTCAAAAACTATCTAAAAGTCAATGAACTCAAAATTCTTTATCATTCCCTAGTAGAATCCCACATGCAATATGGAATATCCGGCTGGGGAGGAGCGTACAATTGTCATATAGAACCACTTCAAGTGATTCAAAAATATTTTTGGAAAATTATTTTTGATAAAAAACGTACCTACCCCTCAAAAAAACTTTTTGAAGAAATTCCTATGCTTGAATTAAGAAAACTGTATATTTACAAAGTCCTCAACCTACAATACAAAAATAGGAAAGAGTTAACATCAATAAGGCACATACATAATACACGATACAAAAAGGAATTTGAATTTTTTATAGAAAAAACCACAAAAACAGTAGGCCAGAGATCATTTTACTACACAGGTCCCAAAATTTTCGGACAAGTACCCCAGTCTATTAGAAATATTAACAGTACTTCCTTATATAAAAGAAAACTGAAAATTTGGCTAAAACAATTGTCAGCAGAAACTATAACAAAGATGATGAATACCACTGGATAACTATTGAAATCTGCTATAAATGGCCCAATACTGTATCAATGAATGAACATAAGCATGCAATATTAATATCTGTAGTATATAAGTACGTGTGTGTATATTTATTCTTATATAGAGCTGTTGTTCCTCATTCCTAACACTGCACTTCACTTTCTTACATTATCTATTATTATTATATGTCACTCCAACAATAAGATCTTTATTAAATACTATATATATTACCTAATATCCCACAACAAGTTTCTCTTCGTGGGATATTTTTTCTTCTTCTTTTCCTTCTTTTTTATCTATTTAATTCATTCTCGAAGTGTTCAGCCGCCACTACATCAGCGATTATTCATTTATTTATTTACATTTATGTCAATTCGTTTCCTAATTCAAGAGCGTACTTTATACAACTATTTATACTTATACTTTCTACATTTTACATTTACATTTAATATTTTACATTTTACATTTAATATACTTGCCCACGCACAAGTTTCACTTCTGTGGGTCTTCTTCTATTTATTCACCATTGCTGTATTATGTTGTATACTTGAAATTTTAGTGAATAAATATTATTATTATATTATTATTATATCAGCCACGCTGCACAGAGAAGGCCTATCTGAATGTCAGTGATATTTCTGTAATCATCCGGATCATCCATGAAAGCAGAAAAAGGGATCTGGAAGTAAAACAAACAGAATAAGGGACTTCACAAAAATACCTACTAGCTCAACGGCTCAACCATTCATTCATTCAGCTTGGAATTTATGATGAAATGACAAGAATTTAATAGTTTTTCAGCAGCAATTACATGGATATGTACAGGCAGTAGAAACATTCTGATAATTCCATCATAAAATACACACCTGTTGTTGATGAAAGTTAAAGAAAAATAACATGAATCGACCAGATAAAAATGTATCCATCCATCAGGTCTTTCAGGAGGCCCACATGCAGCTGAGTCCATGTTTATGAAACACTTGTCAGAATATCTAGCCCGAAGAAGGCCGGAGTTGAATAGACGTCTTTAGTACTTGGAAAGGCATCATATACACATAAAATTCATCGCTGGGGGCCCTAGTTGTCTTCAGATTCATCAGGAATACCAAAAAAATACATTATGATATAATAAAGAAAGATGATTTGGAGGTTAAGTTGAGAAAACTTGCCACTTCTACTTTTTTTTGTACGTTAGACGTGGACGTTATAGGCCATCCGGACAAGTTTACAATAGGAAATGGATAGACTTCTGTTTCCATAGAGGGGAATGCAAAATCTGTTACCATACAGAAGGGGAATGTAGGTACAATGTGTTTAGAGTTTGGATCGAAAGATGGCAATCTCTGTTTGAAAACGAAGTAGAAACGCTATGTCTTTGTAGATAGAAAAAATTTTAGCAATAATATCATAAAAATGCAGTCAAGGAGTGAAATTATTCAGGCATTCTAATTTATGAGGATATTTTGTATTTATGAACTTTTCAACAGAAAACATGGAAAATTGCTATTTATTACACTATTTTTGCAAGTTCAATGTCTTAGAACAGGTTTTCCAATTTGACAGCCTTCCAAACAATCAAAAACAATGTTGAGATTGAACAACTCTTCATGAACTTATCAAAAACTATCAGTGGTATGTTATCTGGTATCTGGTAATTTGGAACTACAGAAAGGACACCATTGACAAAAAAACTACAATAAACAACAAAATCTTTATTTAAAGAAAAAACCCACTTGAAAAACAAAATTAAAGAGTATTTTGTGATAAGTGACATAATAAATACATAGACAGTAATATAGACTCAGAGAATAACTGTGTAGATAAAAAATTATCAAAATTCACCATGCACTGTGGTTTTTTTATCTTATCTTATCCTATCCTATCCTATCCTATCCTATCCTATCCTATCCTATCCTATCCTATCCTATCCTATCCTATCCTATCCTATCCTATCCTATCCTATCCTATCCTATCCTATCCTATCCTATCCTATCCTATCCTATCCTATCCTATCCTATCCTATCCTATCCTATCCTATCCTATCCTATCCTATCCTATCCTATCCTATCCTATCCTATCCTATCCTATCCTATCCTATCCTATCCTATCCTATCCTATCCTATCCTATCCTATCCTATCCTATCCTATCCTATCCTATCCTATCCTATCCTATCCTATCCTATCCTATCCTATCCTATCCTATCCTATCCTATCCTATCCTATCCTATCCTATCCTATCCTATCCTATCCTATCCTATCCTATCCTATCCTATCCTATCCTATCCTATCCTATCCTATCCTATCCTATCCTATCCTATCCTATCCTATCCTATCCTATCCTATCCTATCCTATCCTATCCTATCCTATCCTATCCTATCCTATCCTATCCTATCCTATCCTATCCTATCCTATCCTATCCTATCCTATCCTATCCTATCCTATCCTATCCTATCCTATCCTATCCTATCCTATCCTATCCTATCCTATCCTATCCTATCCTATCCTATCCTATCCTATCCTATCCTATCCTATCCTATCCTATCCTATCCTATCCTATCCTATCCTATCCTATCCTATCCTATCCTATCCTATCCTATCCTATCCTATCCTATCCTATCCTATCCTATCCTATCCTATCCTATCCTATCCTATCCTATCCTATCCTATCCTATCCTATCCTATCCTATCCTATCCTATCCTATCCTATCCTATCCTATCCTATCCTATCCTATCCTATCCTATCCTATCCTATCCTATCCTATCCTATCCTATCCTATCCTATCCTATCCTATCCTATCCTATCATAGGGAGGGGAGGTTCGAGTCTCTCAGGCTGATGACCTGAATAATGTTGTATCCTAACATATCCTATCAAATAAGATCTATTGACATAAATAGGTGTTGCAAGTCTAAAAACTTAAAAATGTATACAATACTAGCAAAAAATCAGAAAGATTTCAATTTCCAAGAGTTCCATTTCGGCGGATATGGCGTTCACAGTATATACTGTATGATTCAAATTAAAAAAGTAATTTCAATCTCAAAAATGCCACGATGTTTCATTAGAGAATAGCCATTAGAAACTGATTATGAATGCATGTATCTGCAAAACAGAGTTTATACTCATAGAGCTCGTAAGGATTTGCTATTAGGAACTCATTATGAATGTACATGCAAAACGAATTTCAATCTCAAAAATGCCACGATGTTTCATTAGAGAATAGCCATTAGAAACTGATTATGAATGCATGTATCTGCAAAACAGAGTTTATACTCATAGAGCTCGTAAGGATTTGCTATTAGGAACTCATTATGAATGTACATGCAAAACGCATTTCACTCCCATAAATGCCACGATGTTTCAATAGAGAATAGCAATTAGAAACTGATTATAAATGTGTATGTGAAACATAGTTTGTTGTTACAGAGAAATTTGAATTCTTAGGACTTAGATGAATCAAAATAAGTTATTGGAATGCAATTATTCATGTCATCCTTATTGACAGAACATTTGATGAAGTCGATTCAATTGAAGTTTCATTGAAGTTAGATACATTACGGATACATAAAAAGAAACTTGACTATATTCTTTTGAAGGAATTTTTACTGTTGAAGTAGCCCTGTTCAAAATATTGATTTATTCTGACTTCCTACACAATCCCTATTGATTTGTCGCATAATATAATACTCGTTCATTTTATCAAACGGCTTTCGGTGTTTGCGTTTACGATTCTGAAAACTTCATTTCTGACTAGCACAAAATATACAATCAATTAGCATGTTTTCACTTACCTCATCGTTCTTATCGATATTATTCTCCATTTATGGTTGAAGAATAATTATAAGAATGGAAATAAAGAAATAACTACAGAAATCGAAATCGAAATCGCCCATGTAAATATAAATGTAACTTAACCTCAATCTCAATGACGCGGACAACGCCCACTACTGCCAGACTGCTACAGAATCAGAACCTAAACACAGAACAGAATCGACAGAATGAAACAAGACACAGGTCACTGATTTTAGGACCAAGTGAATTTCGCTTTTGATTTTGTATATCTTTCGCAGATATTTATAACTTTTTATTCCTCTCATGGGCATGGCCAAGATAACTTCAAGATTGTAGTAGGTAACATCTCAATTATATTAATTCCTTAAAATATCACTCTTGAAACCACTCCCTAATGTTTTGAATTAAATATAGCAGGTAGATTGCCTCCATGAAGATACAGCTATTTTATTAAGTCAAACATTACATTTGATAATTCAGGTAACGTTGTGGAAGCTTTTTCAATCAGTGATATTCGAATGTTTTACTAACTTATACGGACTAATTGCATCATTATAAACATTGCTGAAACATTAAAACAATTTTTCAAAGATAACCTTGTATAGGCAAGACGAAAACTATGTAGCTGCAATGATATGTAATGTTTGATGTTTAGTGGGTTTATTTTTTCAGGCAATGGAAATACTCTTTCTCCCAAAGATTATCATCAAGATGACATAAATCCATCTTGTAGATACTGCCCACAAAACAGAAATGGTGAGATTCCTGTGATACTATAGTTTCCTTCAATTCCGAAACAATTCACTGTTTCAGAATTCAACACAACTTTGAAGAATTTGTTAACTGATTTAAGAGACATCACAAGAAAACAGACTTTATCAATGTCGGTAGCGACCGAGACCATTGACCAAATTAAAAAGATATCAGATGAACTGAAAAAATTGAGAATTGAAAATATACCACCAGATTGTACACTACATTCAAAATATAAATTTTCCATATCTGATAGAGAAACCTTTGATAAGCTTGAGGAATATCTTACTGATTTTCAACAGTTTGGTTCAGCTGTAAGTAATCCTGTAATTTGAGTGATATTTCCAGTCTCTGGTTTTATCGAATCATTTTGAAATATGAAACAAACTTTGAATTGAAAAAATGCTCATTTGATACCCACAAATCTTGAGAACGTATATTTTTCAGATGATTGAAGTTTCCAAATTCGGTGGTACTGACATATATGACTTCGTTAAAAGGTCTCTCAGTTGGTTTAGGAAGAATTCCCTTCTCATACAGTATACTTGGCATGACACCAAAGATAAAAAAAGGTTTGATGTCTACGAAACTTGGGCAGTTCATAATAAATGGGTCCAATAATTTGTTTCCATTTGGTTCATTTGTATCATTCATAACCTCTGGTTATATTATATTATACACCTAGGGTGAGAATGAGTGAGTTATTATAAAGCAAGCATGGAAGGATATACAGTGTGTTTGCTTATGTTCGCACCACATGGAAAAGTTATCAGTTATACTGAAAAAAATAATTCTTTATAAAAAGTTATCCAAGGCCTGAAACTGAAAACGCAGATATCAGATTTAGATTTTTTCAGGTATGTCAAAAAATATAGAATTTGCTCAAGGTGAAGTAATTTTATTTTCGACAATATCGAAAATTATTTTGGAGAGAAGTTGATAGGAATTGAAAATAACGTTCAAACATCTATCTACTTTGAAAGTCGAGAATGTTTTATTATTTTCTACAATTTCTGATCACTTCATATGGAAAACTTTTTCATTATTAATTTTACGGAAGAAAGTAATTCTTCATAAAAAGTTCTGCATGATCTCAAACCGGGATGACAAATATTATAGATATGAGTTTTCTTTAGTCGTATGTCAAGAAATCTTGAGAAAATTGGTTAAAATAGTGATACCAGATTTTCATCATAGATAAATGAAATAAGATATCTGAAAGTTGTTTTTAATTCTAGTCAACTTTTTATATATTTATATTTTTTGACATACCTCGTATACGACTGAAAACATTTGATATCTGAAAGCATTTTCAGTTTCAAATCTTGCAGTTTTCTTATGAGGAATAACTTTTTTTCTTGAAATTAATAATAAAAGTTTTCCATATGGTGTGAACTAAACAGACACTGCTATCTTCATCGCAGAAAATATTACTTCACATTAGAGCAAATACTTGACTGATGGTGATTCATCTAGTAAGTAGTAAAATAAGCCCTCTTCACTTAAATGAAACATTTTGTGTCTGAAAACGGTCAAAATTATATGGAATGATCTGAATAGTAACAAATAAGTTCTCACCATTGAAAATTCTGAGTTTGAGTCGAACCGAAGTTTTTTAGAAGCACCAGAAAAAACAGCATTCTACACTGATAGGAAATCAGTAGAAAAATATGTCAGAAGAGCTTAAGAAAGATGTGCATATGAAATGAAAGCTGAATCTGCTAATTAACAGATTTTTGATATATCTCTGGGATATTTTTTTGTATCAATGTTTAATCTTTCATATATCTTTCGGATATTTACCTATATATATATATATATATATGTTCCTTATTTTGTTATGTTCCTTATTTGGTTACGTTCCCTATCCATGTACAGGCTGTCTCCTTATATTTTGACTTCTACATACAGCTTCAATTTCACGCGGCGGAAAAAAAACAATAAGAAAGTTGTAGGGTTTCATCCGTACTATCTTTTGGTAATGCTCGAATGAACATATGCGAATCGCAAAATGGGATAAAACGAGTAATAATCATTTTTTTTAAATGGAACACTGCATATTTTCAACTTTTGTGGAAACACTTTTTCTTCTGTTCACAAATATATCCAGTTTGCTTATGTTCCCTTAAGACGTTTTCTACTAAATTCTTGCTGCACTACTGAAATTCTTGCAATAATTTCACAGTGAATAACCTCACTATCCCGTATTTTTCCTGTACGGAATAAGCCATTGTTTTGTTTCCATGTCATTTCTGTTCTGTTTCCATGTCATTTCTTTTCTCCACAGCCATCTAAATATTATTGGCAACTTTGATATTCAATGCTAAATAAGTGAAAAATGGATTGAGGAAACATCAGCACACTATATAAATTCGAGAACAGGAGGGGATCTTTCACTAGAGTTGAAAATATACAGGCTGTTTCATTTGAAAAAACTGATTTGCACTCATTTTTTTTTGCTATTTTGTGATTCGCATTTGTTTATTCAAGGAGTGCCAAAAGATAGTACAGATAAAACTCTACAAATTTTAATTTTTTCCATCTTGTATAGTTGAAGCTGTGTAGGTGGGTTTCAAAATATAAGGAGACCTCTTTGAAAATCAGTTAATTTTTTTTTATTATTAAACAACTATTTTGATATGTCTGCGTAGTATTGTTGAATATAGTATGTTTGTAGGACCTATCATTATTCAATTATAAATATTTTATGAAAATATTTGTTTTAAATCTGAGAATTACTACTACTACTCTGACTACCTACAAAAAAATCTATTTCCAGAAGAAACTTTTTGGATGTCTGATGGACATTGAATGGATTTCCATGAATGAATATAAGTTGGATGTCCAGTCCTGGAATGGATGTAAATTGGCTGTCCAATGGAAATCCAATTTATTCCTGATAAGTATTGTAAGAATGTGAATTATTCAATTCATAATTTAATATAGATTTCCATTGGACTTTAGTGATTAAATGAAATTAGTTGTATCTTTTCCATTTCAAATTACTGAGAATTCATTTTCAAGAAATCGGTCTGAAAGTGAAATCGAGAGTCATTAAATTTAACTAGGGCCACACTCAATTCATGCCTATTTTTTTCTATTTCGAAATATATAGCTATCATAAACTGCTAATAGTGCCCTATTGACCATAATTCTCGACCACCCGTGGTTCAGCTCCTATTCCAAAACTATCGTAAAAGTTTCACTCTCTGCATCAATAAGTCTTATTGAATGGGGTAGGTACTCCAGGATATGTCAAGTAGGTATTGTTAGTTTAAGCATGTAAGTCGTGTTGGTATAGGGTTTTTTATAGGAGATACTTCCTTTTTCCCTATATATGTGAATAGAAACCACACGTCGTGAATATAATTTTAAGAGAAGCGATCTTTTGCATGCCCATCAATTAGTTGACATTTATTATTTCAAGGAAATAGTATTAGTTTAGGCTAGGAAACTCGAGAGTTTATCTTTTGAATAGGGCAATTTATGTAGCATAATAAACACGTCAAAAGTAAGGGCTCTCGAGAAACATATATAGTTTATTTTCATTTTGTGAATATCTGCAGAGGGTACTTAAGAATTTCGAAGAAGTCCCCACAGGTTGCGAAAACATAAATTATTTGTATGTCAAGTATCTGAAGCTGGTCAAAAGAGAAGGAAGCAATAGTATACACCCCTATAGAGAGGAAAATCTACCACGATTGGTTGATACCATCCAACCAAGTCAAGTTTCCACCCATAACGGGAATGAACAGACGAAATTAGAGTCAGATAGGGATTTTAGAAAAATCTTAAAGGCAGTTCAATTTTGAATTTCATCCTGTTTGCCTAGTGTTCTGGTGCGTGAATTCAGTGTCTGGTAAATCTCTCAAAGATTGCATTTTTTTCTGAAATTGATAAAGTTCCCTTCTGGTATTCATTAGAATCTTGTAAATTTCATTGAGTTTTCAGAGTCTGGACTCAACTAGGTTAGTACCTTCCGTACTGCTTAGAATATTTAAATTTCAAAGTGAAATACATTTTTAAACCATTAACTTCCTTTTGACTGGTTAAGATAATTAGTTAGATAGATTTCAACTCACTCAGGATAGCTGTAATCATCTTCATTATCTCTTGTTCTTTTATTTGCTTTGCTATATAGGAGCCATTTCCTCATCGAGTCATATTTTCTTTACTTGTCTTTTCATTATTTGTTTATTTTGATTATTATTAAATAGATCGTTGAGGTTTTATTTATTCTTTTATTGCTGAACTTACTCACTTCTCTTCCAGAAGTGAACAATAAAGTAAATTTAATAGAAGTTCTTCTGATATAAGTCAAAAGTTGATAATATAATATAATAAAGGCAAAGAGTTACCAGATAAGTGTTTATACGTGTGACGGTTCGAGGTAATCGATAGCCCGCAGAAGCGATAGCTGAGCCCAGAGAGCTGTCACCCCTTCTGAGAGTCGAAAGGTAAGTGGAATTTTTTGATAATGTTTACGAGCCAACTCAAGCGTATTCTTATTGGACCTTACTTGCCTAACCTGTCTCGTTCGGCAGAGAAGAAGAGAAGAGAGAAGAAAATCAGTAGATGAAGGAAATAAATATTATTAAGAAGGTGGACCTAAGACAGGTATAATTTAATCAGTTTATTTCGAGGATAGAGTATCTTCATCAGAGTCCACCCTTCTTACAGTATCCAATAGACATACTATTGGAATGGACATAAGTTGAATCTTTGATGGACATCCATTGGATGTCTGATGAGTAAACAATAGAATTTCAATTGGAATGGACATAAAATGGATCTTCATTGAGAATCCATTGGATGTCTGATGAGTATCCAATAGAATTCCAATGGAATGGACAAATATTGGATATCCAATGGAAATCTATCGGATGCCTAATGGAAAGCCAATGGATGTCTATTGAACAAATACTGGACAATGCCGTCCCTCCAATGGATGTCCAGGGTATCCATAACTGGACATCCATTGGTTGTCCAATGGATTCACTTGTGTTGTCTGGGAAGGGGTCGTCGCTACAACAATTTTGAAGAGGAGTGTGGAATGCGTCGTGGGATTGTGAGGATTGAAAACAAAGACAATTTATGCTTACCTCGGGCACTTGTTGTTGCCATTGCTTCAGTTACTAAGGAAATCGAATACCGCAAAGTTCGTCGTGATATCGGTAAGATCCAGACAGAGAGAGGTCTTCAGCTAATGAAATATGCGAAAGTTATAATACCTAGGGAGGGGACGGGAGTTCCAGAAGTACAACAATTCCAAGAGTATTTGGAAAACTACAAAGGTTTAATATATAAATATGGTAATT